TGGCCTAGAGAACTGTCTTGATCTTTTTTTTTTTTACATATGTAAATAATATATTTTAAATTTTGAGAATTCAAAATAGAATTTAAAAAGTGTGCAATATGCCTTTCAATATAACCCTGGTAACTCCGGGTAATATCGTCAAGTAGTATAAGAATATAACCTGTATGATTTCTGTCGCAATTACAAATGTACGAATAAAATATTTGTATGGTATCTCTATCCCTTACATATATTATATTATAATATGTCGTTACATTTTTTACCACGTATTAAGAACATAATAATTTCATATGTTGTAAGAAATCTATTCCCATAACAAATAAAAGAATGTACTATTTAGTGAGATGATTAACCCTTTACAGCTTTAAGAATGTAAAGACGTCTCCTCATATTAAAATTCTTCCAACTTGTTCGTCACGTGACATCCTGTTGGCATCTAAACAAAGCCACTGCAGGTACACGGCAGGTACATCGCAGGTGTATCACCGGTCACTTCGACCTAATTAGAGGCCGTTGTTGACATATCCAAACACATATTTCAATTAAGACTTGGAAGCAGGTGCACATGACCCCGCGTTGAGCTATCAGTACTTTGTTGTCCCTTATCACTAAGACATTGACCAATGACATAGTATTGAGGACTTTAGTGCAGGCCTGGGAGACCGAATTTTGGGGGAAATATTTCGTGTCTTTTAAATATTTGGAGAATTTTTTTCAAATCTGACGTTTTTTAAATCATTCGATATGTGAAAGGGAGATAATTGTAGCAACGCTTGTTGTAAGAGTGATTGTTATAAAAGTGACCGTTGTAAGATTAATTGTTATAGTGATTGTTGTAAGGGTGATTGTTGTAAGGGTGATTGTTGTAAGACTGATTGTTGTAAGGGTGATTGTTGTAAGGGTGATTGTTGTAAGACTGATTGTTGTAAGGGTGATTGTTGTAAGGGTGATTGTTGTAAGACTGATTGTTGTAAGACTGATTGTTGTAAGACTGATTGTTGTAAGACTGATTGTTGTAAGGGTGATTGTTGTAAGGGTGATTGTTGTAAGACTGATTGTTGTAAGACTGATTGTTGTAAGACTGATTGTTGTAAGACTGATTGTTGTAAGACTGATTGTTGTAAGACTGATTGTTGTAAGACTGATTGTTGTAAGACTGATTGTTGTAAGGGTGATTGTTGTAAGGGTGATTGTTGTAAGACTGATTGTTGTAAGTCTGATTGTTGTAAGACTGATTGTTGTAAGGGTGATTGTTTTAAGGGTGATTGTTGTAAGACTGATTGTTGTAAGACTGATTGTTGTAAGACTGATTGTTGTAAGGGTGATTGTTGTAAGACTGATTGTTGTAAGACTGATTGTTGTAAGACTGATTGTTGTAAGACTGATTGTTGTAAGACTGATTTTTGTAAGACTGATTGTTGTAAGACTGATTGTTGTAAGGGTGATTGTTGTAAGGGTGATTGTTGTAAGACTGATTGTTGTAAGGGTGATTGTTGTAAGACTGATTGTTGTAAGACTGATTGTTGTAAGACTGATTGTTGTAAGACTGATTGTTGTAAGACTGATTGTTGTAAGACTGATTGTTGTAAGGGTGATTGTTGTAAGACTGATTGTTGTAAGACTGATTGTTGTAAGACTGATTGTTGTAAGACTGATTGTTGTAAGCGCTAGTAACCGTCTCCTGGGCAACAGCAAGAATTTCACCCTCCCTACCGACATTGCACCAGAGCAACTCCCTGACGCCTTTGCGGACTTTTTCATCACCAGGGTGCAAATGATCAGGGAGGAGCTAGACAGCGCGACCCCAACACCTTCCTCACCGTTCTCGGAGGACGTTAGTCAGACAGAATCATTTGATAGTTTTCTGCCTGTGACTGAGGATGAGGTGAGGCGAGTCATCATCAGGTCTGCTCCCAAGTCTTGTGCCCTCGATCCTATCCCCGTCCCACTGCTTGTAGAATGCCTTGACGTCCTCCTCCCAGCACTCACCTCCATCATAAATTCTTCGATTCTCTCTGGCATATTCCCTCCCATTTTTAAACGGTCGATTGTCCTGCCCCTCCTAAAGAAACCCTCACTTGATCCAAACACACTCAAGAATTACCGCCCCGTCAGCAACCTCTCCTTTCTCTCAAAAATCATAGAAAAACTCATACTCTCTCAGCTCTCTGGCTATCTTCATTCTCGCAATCTCTATCCTTCCTCTCAGTCCGCCTACCGACTTGGTCATAGCACAGAAACAGCACTGGTCCGAGTCATGAGTGACCTCCTGCGCGCGATGGACGATGGCAAACTCTCTATTCTCACTCTGTTAGATCTCTCTGCTGCATTTGATACCATTGACCACCAGATTCTTCTTGACCGCCTTCATCTTTCTTTCGGACTTACTGGCTCAGCTTTAAACTGGTTTCAATCATATCTTTCTGACAGAACTCAAACAGTCTCTATTTCCAACCGCTCTTCCAAACCTTCAGCCCTGTCTATTGGAGTTCCTCAAGGATCGGTCCTTGGGCCGGTCCTTTTCATCCTCTACACTAAACCTCTATCATCTCTCATTAGCCACCACTCAGTTTCCAGTCAATCCTTTGCTGATGACACTCAAATCAGTGACTCTTGCTTTCCTGATCAACTTGATGCCACAATCCTTCGCATACAGGAGTGCGTGGACGATGTAAAGCGTTGGATGACTTGCAACAAACTGAAGCTAAATGATGATAAAACGGAAATCCTTCTCATCCACTCTCAAAACAAACCTCTCCCTCCATTCGCTCCTTCTTCTATATCTATTGGCAACTCTGACATCACACTCTCTCCCTCTGCCAGAAACCTTGGAGTCACGCTTACGGACACCCTCTCCATGGACAAACATGTCACGAATATATGCAGATCAGCATATAACGAAATTAGAAAAATCAGCACCATTAGACACCTCCTCTCCTTTGATGCCACAAAAACTCTCGTCTCTTCACTCATTCTTTCAAAATTTGACTACTGTAACATTCTTCTCTCAGGCATTCCTCAACACCACATAGAAAAACTTCAGAAGGCACAGAACTCAGCATGCAGACTCATTTTTAAATTAAAGAAACATGACCACATTCAACCACACATGCGGCAACTCCACTGGCTTCCAATATCCTCTCGCATCAAATACAAGTCTTCCAATCTTTGCTTCAACTCGTTCACTGACCCTCACTTTCCTGTCTATCTCTCTGAACTGTTGCTTCCTTACATCCCCACAAGACAACTACGTTCTTCCATTGACAGTAGAACCCTCTCAATCCCAAGAACTAAAACTAAGACCATCGGTGAACGCTCCTTCTGCTTCCATGGGCCCACGTTCTGGAACCAGCTCCCCTTCCATATACGTCATAGTGAAACCTCGTCCATTTTCAAAAAGTCCCTTAAAACTCATCTGTTTAGGTCCGCCTATGACCTGTGATGCACCCTCCTTGCCCTACCTAATTTTCTGTTTCGGTTTAATCCTGAAGTGTCAAAGTGTCCTCTTTTTATAGCCATTTTCATTGTTTCTATAGAATAGTAGTTACTATCCTAGTGTCTCATTTGTATTTACTTAGTTTACATGTTTTAATAATTGTAAAGCGCTTAGAGCTTTATGATAAGCGCTATATAAAAATGCCTAAATAAATAAATAAATAAATAAAGACTGATTGTTGTAAGACTGATTGTTGTAAGACTGATTGTTGTAAGACTGATTGTTGTAAGACTGATTGTTGTAAGACTGATTGTTGTAAGACTGATTGTCGTAAGACTGATTGTTGTAAGGGTGATTGTTGTAAGTGTTACTGCTGTAAGAACTATAGAAAGATTGATTGTTGTAGAGGGATTGTTGTAAGAGCGATTGTGATAAGAGTAAATGGTGAAATGTGGTTCTTCTGAGGATGATTGTTACAAGATCGATTGTTGTAAGAGTGATGTTTTGAGAATCATTGTTTTAAGAGATATCAAAAGTCCCTAATTACACAAAAGCAGAATTGCAATGTGACTTTTCTTTTATAATTTTTTTTTTAAAATATGATATGTCACTAAAGTTATTTATATATTTTATATGAAATTAAAATTTATGTTAAAACGATTGGGACAAGAAATTTGTTAACATTGAGTGTTCAGCATTCCTGTCATGCTTCATATTGATCCTATCATGCTGCATACCATTACCGTCATGTTCTATATTTATCCTGTCATGCTTTATTCCCTTCCAGTCATGTTCTATAACTATCCTATCATGTTTTATACCATTCCTGTCATATTCTATACCATACTTGTCATGTTCTATACCATGCTTGTCATGTTCTATATCATTCCTGTCAAAGTCTATACCATTCCTTTCATGTTCTATATAATTCCTGTCAAGTTCTATATCATTCCTAGCAGGTTCTATATCATTCCTATCATTTCTATGTCATTCCTGTTATGTTCTATACCCTTCCTATCATGTTCTATTCCATGTACGTAATGTTCTATATCATTCATATCATGTCCTATGCCATTTGCGGAATGTTCTATACCATTCCTGTCATGTTGTTTACCATTCTTGTCATGTTCTATAACATTTTTTTAACATCGATCAGCAGATATCCATATGGAAAGATCGCCAAATTATGTTAGCGGGTTATGAATTGAACACAATTTGTTTGTTATTGCTCAAATTATGTATAGATGTATTATTATTGGTTTATTACTTTATTTATTTCTTCTTCTACTTCTTCTATATTTTGAAGGCCTTCGATCAATGAATCGATCATTCTGGCTCCATGTGTCAGAGCGGTTTGTGATGTAACTGTGCATTGTTTTCAAGGGGATACTTCACTGGTTTCAAGGGCTACTCAGCGATGGTATAATAAACTGGGGGTTGGAAGAAAGGAGGCAATAGACGCAAATCTGTCAGGTGTAGTCACCTCAACCGTTGCTTTTGGAAGCTTGTTCCAGTCCCTTATTGTCTTTGGCAGAAATGAGGAGCTCCTGTATGGTGTTATGCTGTTATAAGCCGGAACTGCCTGTCATGGCCTCGTGTTTGTCGTGGGGGGGGGGGAATGGACGAGTTTATGTTAAATGCTGGAGCAGTGGACCGGCCCATCTTGTACATCAGAGGTGGGCAAACTATGGCCCGCGAATCGCATGCGCCCCGGCAACTGATATTATGCGGCCCTCGAAGGGATTTAGAAATTTAAAAAAAAATTCCTTAGTTTTTCAGTTATTTTGTTGAATTTTACAGAATTTATCTACCGTTATGATTGTTTGAACATTTTTGATCAAATTTCTTTCTAATTTCCTTCACTTTTTTAAACAGTCCTAGACTTTTTTCATGTAATGCTAAAATGCGAATTTACCGATTTTAATATAGAGAAATGTTTATCGACATGTAAAAATTGGACATAATGTACATGCAGCCCCCGAATAGCTTGACATTTTTCAATCTGGCCCTACGCACAAAACGTTTGCCTACCCCTGTTGTATATCATGGAGAGCCTGGATTGTCGTCGTCGTTTCTCCAATGGTGACCAGCCTAGTGTTTCCAACATGCTGCCAACACTAGAGGTATTCCTGTAGCGGTTTAGGACAAAGCGTGCTGCTCTTCGCTGGACCGCCTCCAACCTGTCAATGCTCTTCTGGGTAAGTGGGTCCCAGACTGAAGATGCGTAGTGCAAAAGCGGCCGGACAAAGGCTCTAGAGGTTTTTTTCTTTCACGCTTGTGTTTCAGAACTTCAGATTTTGCCTTAGGCTCTTTTTTGCCCGATGCACACATTGTTAATTTTTCAACATATCTTGATTTAAAAAATAAAAAAAATATTAGGATAAAAAGAATGCGAAACCTGGTTTGAAAAAAATCAACAACCGGTTTGTAGTTTCCAAACTGAAACCGGAAATGCTTTCTTTATGTCAAACAATGACGTCATATTTATATCACTTATTTTTGGAAGCATGTTTATCGACCCGTGGAACTATCGATTGTACTCATAGCGAGATAAGTTACGTCGAGAATAACTTCATCAATAATTAGTTATTTACTTTTCGCATTTGAAATTATCAGAATAAACTGCGCTTCAGAAATTCTTGGGTATGCAATTTTTTCGGAAAAGTAAGAAAAAGATCATGTTTTGAATTTGTTTTTAAGAAAAAGAGAGCTAACCAGTAAAATTAAAATCCAACTCATTACAACGTGGTTATGTCCCATGTAATACGTTTGTCCTGGTTTAAATAGATTCGTAAGAGAAAAGGGATAATATGTGAGTACAGTTAGTTTATGGTACGCCATATGTGCGGAGAAGCTTCAAAGAAATGGCTGGGATTTTTAAAGTAATTAATATTTGTTAACGGACTGTATGTAGTCTCGGGTCTACAAACATATCACGTGACTTAATTTACACATGTTATTTTGACTTCGTGAGTATCTTTGACGTGACTGTACATTTGATGCTGTTGTTGGTGCTGCTGTCGTTTGAGATGCTTCTGTTCCTGTTGATGCTGTTCTTGTTGGGTGTGCTGATGTTGTTGGAGATGCCACTGTTGGTCATGTGCTGACTACGCTTGGATGCCCTGTAGAGCCGTGGGCGATGTTGCTGCTGTAGAGAATGTTTGGTGGTGAATGCCACAACCGAGTCCACATAGTCCAGACAGAGCGTGTCTGACCATGACCTTGGCGGAAACCCTTCTAGAAATCCACAATGACCTCCCTTTGTTGTCACGACCAACAGGAAGTTCGGATAACCTTGGAGAATATCATACGGAATGTCTGAGCATGCGCAGATGGGATCGTCCAGGCTGGTAATACAAAGGACGGGCACTTCAATAGCGTCCACATCCCGAATCGGATTGTTCATTTCCCAGAATTGCTCCAAATCGGAATATCCGTTAAGTGGACAGTACACAAGCCGGTGATGTTCTGAAAACGTCCAAGCAGACATGGCCTTGTCCAAGTCCAAGACTGGGGCCAGTGCCTTGGCGTGTTGACACAAGAGAGATTTCAGTCTGAGCAGTAGAACGAGGTCATAGAGGCTGGTCCCTCTCTGGGGGGCATCGTAGCGTGGGGATATACACACCCCAACCGTCAACATGTCAGAGGAACCAAATTCACCTGTCAATAAAATATATACTTTTTTAAATTCAAAACAAAAAATTTGAATGTTCATAAATATTTGTTCAAATCAAAATTTCATCATGGTGTCCTCATCAAAATGTGTCAAAAGTATTATGATGAAACCGACATCCATAAAAAAAAGCACAATTCATATATAATAGCTACCTACACATGACTTGAGCAGTCATTTACCGCAGTTACCGACATTAATATGACATGAGCCTATCTAGATACGACATGAGCAGCCACCTACCTACATAATAATATGACATGAGCAATAACCTACCTAGATATGTCATAACCAGTGACCTACCGAAATATGACATTAGCAGTGACCTACCTAAATATGAAATGAGCAATGACCTACCTAATTATGACATGAACAGAGACCTACCTACATATGACGTGAGCAGTGACCTACCTAAGTATGACCTGAGCAGTGCACATCCTGTCCCATAAGCCACTGCGGCAAGTGGTGACTTTGGCATGCGCAGGTTGATGTACCTTATGACCTGTCTCAGGTCAGTTGGATCAGCATAACTCTGGAGACAGATGTAACAACCCACACGTTACTACAAATGTAACAACCCACACGTTACTACAAATGTAACATCCCACAGAATGTAGCAACCCACATGTTACTAAAAATGTAACAACCCACATGTTACTAAAAATGTAACAACCCACATGTTACTACAAATGTAACAACCCACATGTTACTACACATGTAACAACCCACATGTTACTACACATGTAACAACCCACATGTTACTAAAATGTAACAACCCACACGTTACTACAAATGTAACAACCCACATGTTACTACAAATGTAACAACCCACATGTTACTAAAATGTAACAACCCACATGTTACTACAAATGTGACAACCCACATGTTACTACAAACGTAACAACCCACATGTTACTACAAATTTAACAACCCACATGTTACTACACATGTAACAACCCACATGTTACTACACATGTAACAACCCACATGTTACTACACATGTAACAACCCACATGTTACTACAAATGTAACAACCCACATGTTACTACAAATGTAACAACCCACATGTTACTACACATGTAACAACCCACATGTTACTACACATGTAACAACCCACATGTTACTACAAATGTAACAACCCACATGTTACTACACATGTAACAACCCACATGTTACTACAAATGTGACAACCCACATGTTACTACAAACGTAACAACCCACATGTTACTACAAATTTAACAACCCTCATGTTACTACAAACGTAACAACCCACATGTTACTACAAACGTAACAACCCACACGTTACTAAAAATGTAACAACTCACCTGTAACTTGGGTGTGGTCAGGTAACTGTTACCATGGCCCCTCCTGTTAAACACAACAGCTTTAAAGCCCCTGTCGGTGGCGTTGAAACAAATATTCGTCATGTGAGTGGCGTCCTCTGTCAGGGGCGGTATCACCAAGAGCACAACAGTTTTTCTTAGGACGAAAATCGTGACAAGATGAAATAGAGCTCCCAGAACCAGTTACCACAGCAGAAAGGATTCGTTGCTGGATTGCTTTATAAGATCGTGTGTTGGAAGTTTAAGGGCCGGGATCTTTTAGAAGTAGGATTTAGAATTCATTCACCGCGGTAACAACTTATAAGTTTAACTGTTCTACCGTAGTTTTATGTAGTATATGGCTGTCAGTTCGTTTGTTTTGTGTGTGTGCGTTTGTGTGTGTGTGTGTGGGGGGGGGGGTATTAAGTCTATTTTTAAAAAAATATATATACATATTTATATAACTGGACTCTTTATCATGATTTTTTTCCCCCTAGAACTTGATGGTTCCCAAACTGTGAACATCTGCTGGCCCCCGTTACACAAAAAGACCCACCGTTTGACCTTGACATCAGGATACTCCACCCAGTCTATGGCGACGACCCCCTTATCTCTCATTTGTAGATACTCCCTGGCGTACGTCACATCCGGTTTATGAAGGATGACAGGAAGTATTGTCTGCACATGTCTGGAGCTCAGAAAACGACTTGGCGCGTACACTTTCTGTGTCAGCTTACATCGCTCTGGTATTGGCCGAGACAACGAGTGCAAGAAGAAACAATTTAAGATTTTCTCATTAAAAGACTAAATTATTTATGAATAAACACTTTTCGGATAGCCTATGACTTTCTAAGCAATGGGAAAATTATTAAAAGTATTTTAAAATTATAATATGAATTATTATGTTTAAATGTTTTGTCATGTAAAAAAACACATCTATTTTAAGCTCCTTCATGACTTAGGACTTTACCGTTTCTATTTTTAGTTCTCTTATACTGTAAGAGTTTATGCATTGTCTTCAAAGCGTTTCTAAGATTACGTTTCATTGGTACACATTCTAATAATAGCTCACCTATGACGTAGGAGTGCATGGGGGAATTCCGGAAGTAAAGACTCGGTCTTTCTACCAATGACATCCATAGAAACTCCTTGAATAAAACGACAAGGGACAACGCGATTGAGCCTACGAAGGCGACGTAGACAGAAAATGGCGCTAGGCTTACACAAGACAGTTCTAACATCTTCTTGCAAGGCACAGATGTCTCCTTAGTCGCTAGTTACACTGATGGCGTTTCTGACATATAGAAGTTTGTAAAATTAAGATCTGGAAACATGCAATGTTAATATTCATATTTATAGTGTTAACATTCATTACTGACATTCATAACTACACAATTACCATTCATAACTACACTGTTAACATTTATAACTACACTGTGAACTGTTAACATTTTTAACTACATTGTTAACATTCATAACTACACTGTTAACATTCATTACTACATTGTTAACATTATAACTACAATGTTAATAATCATAATTACAATGTTAACATTTATATCTACACTGTTAACATTCATAGCTACACTGTTAACATTTATAACTACACTGTTAACATTCATAACTACATTGTTAAAATTATAACTGCAATGTTAATAATCATAATTACAATGTTAAAATTTATATCTACACTGTTAACATTCATAGCTACACTGTTAACATTTATAGCTACACTGTTAACATTCATAACTACAATGTTAACATTCATAACTACACTGTTAACATTTATAATTATAACTACATTGTTAACATTCATAACTACAATGTTAACATTCATAGCTACAATGTTAACATTTATAACTACATTGTTAACATTCATAACTACAATGTTAACATTCATAACTACAATGTTAACATTTATAGCTACATTGTTAACATTCATAACTACAATGTTAACATTTATAACTACAATGTTAACATTTATAACTACACTGTTAACATTCATAACTACAATGTTAACATTCATAACTACAATGTTAACATTTATAGCTACATTGTTAACATTCATAACTACAATGTTAACATTTATAACTACAATGTTAACATTTATAACTACACTGTTAACATTCATAACTTCACCGTTAACATTCATAATTACACTGTTAACACTAGCTTTAAGCTATGTACATGTACACATCACTTGTCTTATATAGAACACCTCACGCAATCCCTTGGGTTCCCCTGAACACCACATACTGCCTTGCATCGTCCGTCCACTAACCTCAAGTTTAACCTAGCCTTGATGAAAAGACCTGGTCGTGAAAAGATACGTTGATAGGTTTCACGACCCGCCCTTCCAGGCAAATCTTCAGGAGATACACGACCATCTATTAAATCAAGTGCACATAAGTCTGGTGTGTTTAGAGTCCAGGGCGCTGAGCTTTCGATCTACTTGTAATGTGGGTCCTACTTAGGTGGGTATTTTTTATGCACATAGAACGTATTTCAAACACAGCATAAATAAGACAGGGCCATGGATATTTGTTACCGAGAAAGTGACATATGACGTCAGATTGACAGTGACACTACAAGGGGCGTGTCAATAGGTTGGTCTCAGGTGCACATTGTGACGTAGACTACAGTCAAGGACACAATTCCTTTATTGTTACCGTTAACCAGTGCGGGACTCATTCATTTTTTTGCCATAAAAAAAAAAAAAAATTGACTCAGCACATTGAAGCTAATTCTTTCATTACATCTGGTCTCTTCATCGGATGTCTAATAAATCAAACAACTTGTGGAGCAAGTCTAAACATCTTTTTCTATAGCATTTAATCAACATGTCAATTAATTAGTCTCACAATCGATCAATGCTTACACAATCAGTTTGCCCTAAAGAAATTTTGACACAATCAGCTTTCTTTACAATCAATCAGGCAATCACACAATCAGTGCTTCTCAAAACAAGTGGCCTCTTAAACAGCAGTTCAATTGAGTGCCTCACAGTCATCGTAACTCACACTCATCTTGTCTCTGAATCATCCTATTTCACAATCATTGCGTTTCAAAATCATGGGGCCTCACAATCATTTTGCTTCACAATAATTTTGTCTCACAATCATTTTGTCTCACAATCATTGTGTCTCAAATAGTTGTGTCTTACAATCATCATGTCCCACAATCATCGGGCCACACACTCATGTGTCTCACAATCATCGTGTCCCACAATAATTTGGCCTCAGACTCATCTTGTCTTACAATCATCGTATTTCACAATCATCGTGTCTCACAATCATCAGGCCTCACAATCATTGTTTTTCACAATCATCGGGCCTCACAATCATTGTGCTTCACAATAATCTTGTCTCACAATAATCTTGTCTCACAATCATCCTGTCTTACAATCATTTTGTCTCACAATCCTCATGTCTCCCAATCAAGTGCAGCTCACTTCCGCTTCACAAAAACATAATTCACTCTCTTTTCCCGTGAAAAATACACGTTAACATAGTTCAATATTCAAAGTATGCCACCTCTCTGACACAATGGTTTCGTGTGCAAACATGTTCTGTTACAATCACCATGTCTCACAATCATCATGTCTCACATTCATCGTATCTCTAACAATCATCGCGTCTCATAATTTTGTCTCACAATCATCATGTCTCACAATCATCATGTCTCACAATCATCATGTCTCACAATCATCGAATTTCATCTTGTTTTCCCACTGACAGTCCTTAACCCTTATAAATCATAAGTCATGACGTATTGGCCTCGCTTGTCAGTGGGGAATGAGCAGACAACCCAACGTTCATCCAAGGAGCACACAACCCAACGTTCATCCAAGGAGCACACAACCCAACGTTCATCCAAGAAGCACTCTTTGCAGAGGTCTGACTTGGGATAAACGCCCTTGTCATGGCTCAAATGACTTTCTGTCACAGTCAACATTTATCTTATTTTCCTTGCCATTGTGGCAACTGGTAAATTTGTTAGATCTACCTGGTTCATTCATTTTGGTCAGCTTCAGAGGTTCTATAATTTTGATAAGCTTCAGAGGTTCTATAATTTTGATAAGCTTCAGAGGTTCTATAATTTTGATAAGCTTCAGAGGTTCATTCATTTTGGTAAGATTAAGAGTTTCTATAATTTTAGTCAGCTTCAGAGGTTCTATAATTTTGGTAAGATTCAGAGGTTCTATAATTTTGGTAAGCTTCAGAGGTTCTATAATTTTAGTCAACTTCAGAGGTTCTATAATTTTGGTAAGCTTCATAGGTTCTATAATTTTGGTAAGCTTCAGAGGTTCTATAATTTTGATAAGCTTCAGAGGTTCATTCATTTTGGCAAGCTTCAGATGTTTTAACAATTTTTGTCAGCTTCAGAGGTTCTATAATTTCGGTCAGCTTCAGATGTTATATAATTTTGATAAGCTTAAGAGGTTCTATAATTTTGTAAAGCTTCAGAGGTTCTATAATTTTGATAAGCTAATGAGATTCTATACTTTTCAAAAGCCTCAGATGAACAATAATTCTGATGAGATTCAAATCCATGTATGCTCACAGAAGGTCAAGATAAATGAACAATGCATTTGAAACAATATAATCCAATAAAGGTGCTCTATTTCACATGTCATTACCTTATATTTCACTAATATATATATTTATGTATATATATATACACTATACGTTGATATTCATCAAGTTTTTTCCAAATCAAGTAAAACCTAAATTTCCTTGAAAGTTTAGTGCGAGCATAGTCGAGGGAGGAAACTCGAGGAAGACAAACACCTCTGTGTTTACTCCCCTTTAGAACAGCCGTGAAATGTTGACAATAACAGGCGCTGTTGGCCTGAGACAAACAAGTTCCAATGTTTTAGCAATGCTCACGGTGTGGGGGGGGGGGGGTTAGTGGGGAACGGTCAAAAATGTTCNGATTGTAAATGACATCATAAAGATGGTAACTGGCATTTAACATATGATATACGACATGCAACAGATTGTAAATGACATCATAAAGATGGTAACTGGCATTTAACATATGATATACGACATGCAACAGATTGTAAATGACATCATAAAGATGGTAACTGGCATTTAACATATGATATACGACATGCAACAGATTGTAAATGACATCATAAAGATGGTAACTGGCATTTAACATATGATATACGACATGCAACAGATTGTAAATGACATCATAAAGATGGTAACTGGCATTTAACATATGATATACGACATGCAACAGATTGTAAATGACATCATAAAGATGGTAACTGGCATTTAACATATGATATACGACATGCAACAGATTGTAAATGACATCATAAAGATGGTAACTGGCATTTAACATATGATATACGACATGCAACAGATTGTAAATGACATCATCAAGATGGTAACTGGCATTTAACATATGATATACGACATGCAACAGATTGTAAATGACATCATAAAGATGGTAACTGGCATTTAACATATGATTATACGACATGCAACAGATTGTAAATGACATCATAAAAATGGTAACTGGCATTTAACATATGATTATACGACATGCAACAGATTGTAAATGACATCATAAAGATGGTAACTGGCATTTAACATATGATATACGACATGCAACAGATTGTAAATGACGTCATTAAGATGGTAACTGGCATTTAACATATGATATACGACATACAATATATTGTAAATGACATCATCAAAATGGTAACTGGCATTTAACATATGATATACGACATGCAACAGATTATAAATGACGTCAAAAAGTATCAACCTCCTAACCATATCTTTCACTATATAAAATGAGTAAAACAGAGTAGGGTTAAACCTAAGAAAAGAAACGCAACAAAACAACGAACGTGTCGGCAGAAAGCCTTCGTCAGCGAACAAACAACAGAAAAAAAGGGTATAAAAAATAAAAATAAGACACAATTAAGACCTCAGTAATACCTCACACAATTAAGACCTCAGTAATACCTCACACAATTAAGACCTCAGTAATACCTCACACAATTAAGACCTCAGTAATACCTCACACAATTAAGACCTCAGTAATACCTCACACAATTAAGACCTCAGTAATACCTCACACAATTAAGACCTCAGTAATACCTCACACAATTAAGACCTCAGTAATACCTCACACAATTAAGACCTCAGTAATACCTCACACAATTAAGACCTCAGTAATACCTCACACAATTAAGACCTCAGTAATACCTCACACAATTAAGACCTCAGTAATACCTCACACAATTAAGACCTCAGTAATACCTCACACAATTAAGACCTCAGTAATACCTCACACAATTAAGACCTCAGTAATACCTCACACAATTAGCACCTCAATAATGCTTAACAAAGTTAGCACCCCAGCAACAACTCACACAATTAGCGCCTCAGCAACACCTCAAACTAGCACCTCAGCAACACCTCAAATTAGTACCCCAGCAACACATCACACTAGCACCTCAGCCACACCTCACTCTAGCTCCTCAGCAACACATCAAACTAGAACCTTAGCAACACCTCACACTAGCACCTCAGCAACACCTCACAGTTCCATCACAACAACACCTCAAACTAGCACCTCAGCAACACCTAACAGTAGCACCTCAGCAACATATCACACTGGCACCTCAGCAACTCCTCAAACTAGAACCTCAGCAACACCTCACACTAGCACCTCAGCAACACCTCACACTAGCACCTCAGCTACACCTCACAGTAGCACCTCAGCAACACCTCACACTAGCACCTCAGCTACACCTCACAGTAGCACCTCAGCAACACATCACACTAGCACCTCAGCAACACATCACACTAGCACCTCAGCAACACATCACACTAGCACCTCAGCAACACATCACACTAGCACCTCAGCAACACATCACACTAGCACCTCAGCAACACATCACACTAGCACCTCAGCAACACATCACACTAGCACCTCAGCAACACATCACACTAGCACCTCAGCAACACATCACACTAGCACCTCAGCAACACATCACACTAGCACCACAGCAACACATCACACAAGCACCTCAGCAACACATCACACTAGCATCACAGCAACACCTCAAACTAGCACCTCAGCAACACATCACACAAGCACCTCAGCAACACATCACACTAGCACCTCAGCAACACATCACACAAGCACCTCAGCAACACATCACACTAGCACCTCAGCAACACATCACACAAGCACCTCAGCAACACATCACACTAGCACCTCAGCAACACATCACACTAGCACCTCAGCAACACATCACATTAGCACCTCAGCAACACCTCAAACTAGAACCTCAGCAACACATCACACAAGCACCTCAGCAACACATCACAAAATAGCACCCGAGCAACACCAAATGCCAACACATGATGTAATTATCACCATTATTTCTTTCATTAGT